AACCGGCCTCCTTGAGGACGGCCTCGAGGTTGGAGATGCACTGCTTGGTCTTCTGGGTGATATTGCCCTCGATCAGAACGCCCTCGGGGTTGAGGGGGATCTGGCCGGAGCAGTAGATGGCGGTGGGGGTCTTGACGGCCTGGGACTGCGGCGGTGGTTAGCTTTTCACTGGGGGTCCAATTGCTCGTGTGAGTGAGCTCATACGTAAGGGCCGACGGCTATGTCAAATGATTGTTGTCAGTCAGTCAATTGAGTCACATAAGACGAGGGCATCCAGAAAAGACTCACGGGCCGGGGCGTTCTTGGTGAAGACGATGGACTGGTCAGACATCTTGACGGTGTGGATGCTAAACGGCTGAGCGTGGAACTTTGTGAAGACGCGGGTTGAGGGACGGAGGGCACGAGAGGAAACTCTGGTGACGGATCTGAGGAGCGAAGAGGACATGAGGATTGAAGAGTGGAAGGAGGGGCAGGTTACTACGGACCGTGGATTGAGCGCGCGCCTTTGGTGAGGATTAAGTTGGGACTTCCCAGGCTGGTCGGGCGAACCCCGCCGTTGCGCCCTCCGTTCTTCGGCGTCGAGGCCCGGGCGGGTAGCAGCGGGGTCCTGTTACCTCTCGTCGGAGCGGCTACCCGACCGAGAGTTTACGTACAAAACTGTCGATTACGCCTTTTCTGAAGCTCGTCAGTTGATGAAAAGCAGTTTTGCAGGTAGAAAGATTGAATGCATATTGTGTGTATTACATAGTGGACGAGGAATGACATGAGCTAGAGAGTATCAAAAGGCACAATGTTCCTTCCCCCGACATTGGCCCGTGATAGGTCAATTGCATCAGATTCCAGCTGAATTGCTGCGTCAGGAATTGAATTCGATTCAACAAGTCCTTACTTTCGCTAATCACATTGTTCTCTCCTAGAAAACACGCGGGCGTAGCCACAGACTGCGCGTACAATGCGTCGGGTAGAGTGCCGTCAATGGTTACGAGGGCCCTTCTTATCTTATCACGGCGGAAGGTGGGATGGAGCTCTCCCCAACCTAGACGCCCCCGAAATCGACCCCAAAATTTTTTAGCGTAACCCACCTCAGCTCTGTCCAGCAGGCAGGCAGACAGCTTCAGTATGGCCAAGTGTCCAGTCCATCGAGTCCAGCCCGTCCATCCAGCTCGTCCAACAGGCAGAAGAAAAAAAAGCAACAGACCCCTGCCGCCCAAATTTATCCCCCAGGCCATCCTGTGTCCACGAAGGTTCACTGTCACTTCTTCGCCAGGGGGTTTCCTATTAATTTTTCCGCGCGAGCTACCTGGCCGAGGTGATCCAACCTTCCTTGTCGTTCGTCCTTCACCAACACTCTTCTCCATCGCGAGACTGATTTTGTTCCCTCTTCTTCGTTTCTGCCTCCCTGCCGCAGCTTCTTCTGTCGTTCCTTACCTCAACCTTTCCTTCTTCTCTTCACTATTCTCTCTTCGCGCCTGTCTTCTTCAATCACCTTGACGTGAGGGCTGACGCGATCCACTTTTTCCCATAGCGTGTAAGTAAGCTACAAGCCCCTGAATTGCTCCCTTACAACCGCAGGAGCACAGCTCCGAGGCGCGATACGTACCACCACGTAGAGCTACCTGTCCTTCTTGATGCGACTCTTCTGGGAAACCACACTTTTTTATCTCCACTCAACCTCCAATCTCGCGAGACTTGGAACTGACAAACCCCGTCTCGCGCAGCTCCTCTCGTCCATCTCCGATTCCCAATATGGCGCAGACGACTGCCACCTCCCCGCAGGGCAGCGTTCGCCAGCGCAACACGGGCTCTACTAAGAAGGGAGCTGTCCCGGGCGCCGCTGCTGACGCCGTCGCCGACTCTCTGACCAAGGCCGCCGACAAGACCAAGCGCGCCGGCGCGGAGAGCGGCCACATCATCGGCCTCGTCGTCACCACTGTCCTGGCCTTCGTCACCCGTTTCTGGGGTATCAGCCATCCCAATGAAGTCGTCTTCGACGAGGTTCACTTTGGCAAGGTACGTTAGCACTGTCACTTTTCCCCCCCTCTCCTTCCCCAAGACACGATAGCTGACAGCTTGCTTTCCAAACAGTTTGCCTCCTACTACCTCGAGAGAACATACTTCTTCGATGTCCACCCTCCGTTCGGAAAGCTCCTCTTTGCCTTTATGGGATGGCTTGTAGGCTACGACGGACACTTCCACTTCGAGAACATTGGCGACTCGTACATCTCCAACAAGGTTCCCTATGTCGCCTTCCGCGCTCTGCCCGCCATCCTCGGCGCATTGACGGTCACCATCTCCTACCTCATCATGTGGGAGTCTGGTTACAGTCTGCCTGCCTGCATTTTGGCCGCCGGCCTCATCCTCCTCGACAACGCCCACATTGGTCAGACCAGACTGATCCTCTTGGATGCTACTCTGGTCTTCTGCATGGCATGCAGCTTGCTCTGCTACATCAAGTTCTACAAGCTGCGCCACGAGCCTTTCTCGCGCAAGTGGTGGAAGTGGCTTATCCTTACCGGATTCGCCCTGTCTGCCGACATGTCGACCAAGTATGTCGGTCTCTTCGCTTTCGTCACCATTGGCTCTGCTGTAATTATCGATCTCTGGGCCCTGTTGGACATTAAGCGACCCGGTGGCGCGCTGTCTCTTCCGGACTTTGGCAAGCACTTTGCTGCCCGCGCATTCGGCCTCATTCTGATGCCCTTCCTCTTCTATCTCTTCTGGTTCCAGGTTCACTTCGCCATCCTTACCCGTTCCGGTCCTGGCGACGACTTCATGACTCCCGAGTTCCAGGAGACTCTTAGCGACAACGTCATGTTGGCCAACTCCTTGACCGTCGAGTACTACGACACGATCACCCTTCGCCACAAGGAGACCAAGACGTACCTCCACAGCCACGAGGACCGCTACCCCCTCCGCTACGACGACGGCCGTGTTTCCAGCCAGGGCCAGCAGGTCACTGGTTACCCCTACAACGACACCAACAACTACTGGCAGGTCATTCCCCTCGTCGACGACCAGAAGACGGGCAAGGCCGTCAAGAACAACGATGTCGTCCGTCTTCGCCACCTGGGCACCGACACCATGCTTCTCTCCCACGATGTTGCCTCTCCTTACTACCCTACCAACCAGGAGTTCACCACCGTTCCCTTGACCGAAGCCTACGGAGAGCGCCTGAACGACACGCTCTTCGAGATCAGGGTCGAGAACGGCAAGGCTGGCCAGGAGTTTAAGAGTATTTCTAGCCACTTCAAGCTGATTCACAACCCCAGCAAGGTTGCCATGTGGACTCACACCACCCCTCTTCCCGAGTGGGCACACAAGCAGCAGGAGATCAACGGTAACAAGCAGCTGGCCCCTAGCTCCAACATTTGGTTCGTCGAGGATCTCCCTTCCGTTCCCGCAGACTCCAAGAGACGCGAGAAGCCGGAGAAGGAGGTTAAGACGCTGCCCTTCTTCCGCAAGTGGTTTGAGCTTCAGCGCTCCATGTTCTGGCACAACAACCAGTTGACCAGCTCCCACCCGTACGCCAGTCAGCCCTGGCAGTGGCCTTTCCTGCTCCGTGGTGTCAGTTTCTGGACCCAGAACGACACCCGCCAGCAGATCTACTTCCTCGGCAACCCTGTCGGCTGGTGGCTTGCGAGCAGTTTGTTGGCCGTGTTCGCCGGCATTATCGGTGCCGACCAGGTCTCTCTTAGACGGGGTATTGACGCTCTTGACCACCGTGAGTAAACTGCATCTTCTGGATCAATACCAAGCTAACCCAACGTAGGCACGCGCTCCCGTCTTTACAACTCAACCGGTTTCTTCTTCCTTGCCTGGGCCACTCACTACTTCCCCTTCTACCTCATGGGTCGTCAGCTCTTCCTCCACCACTACCTCCCGGCACACCTGGCTTCCTGCCTTGTTGCGGGTGCTCTTCTGGAGTTCATCTTCACCGCCGAGCCCGCTCCCGAGGAGGGCTACCAGGTCATCAAGGGCAACAAGAAGGGCGATGGACCTAAGAGGCACATCAGCGCCCGCGAGCGCTTTGCTGGCCAGAGCCTTCTCCCCGCCTGGATCGCCTGTGGTGTTATTTTGGCTGTTGCCGTTGCCGGCTGGTACTTCTTCCTGCCGCTGACCTACGGTTACCCCGGCCTCACTGTCGAGCAAGTCGTTCGTCGCAAGTGGCTCGGCTACGACCTGCACTTCGCCAAATAAGCGCCGTGAGGTTGAAGTCAAGCCCTTAAGGGATTGATACAGAATTTAGACGAAGGTGCTCCAGAAGTCGGATTGACTCTCAGTCCAGCGACCCGGGGTTCGGGTCACGGAAATACAGTTATCAGAAGCCAACGAGGGGATGGGGCTAAGCTGTGAATGTAAGATGAGATGACGAACAAATGGGACACACTGTAGGGTGTTCAACTAGTTTTCTTGCGTTGATGAATAGTTCCAGTTCAGCTGTTTTCGACAGTTTTCAAAGTGAAGCCCGTCTGCGTGTGATGTAAAAATAGTGACATTATGCGTTGAGGCTGATGCGCTCCTATTACCCCTGTCATCCACGGGAGGGATGAGCTGAGCTCCACCAGCCAATCACCGAGTCTGGCCGCTTCTCCAGGCTCCCAACTACTGACCCCTGTCAGCCCTGTCAGCCAATGACATCAGTTCCCCTGACCAATTCCAGTGACCTTCTGTCAGGGGACCATTGGAAGTTTGGAACCCCTAGCAGGAGCTTTGAATCTGGACAGTTCAACCTCCCTCTCTCGGCCAGCGTCAGCGCAGGAGGCAGGCGTGGAAGGATCGCACGACACGCAAGCACATTTGATCTACTATTTCTCCTTCCCGTTTCGCATCAATGGAGTTTTGTTTTCCGAGGCCTCGTCTTCTTCCTTGCTAATTTAGACATCATCCCGGTCTAGGTGTGGTGACATCCCGCGAGACGCCAGATCGCCGGTGCCGAACCGAACGAGAGAACCCGCCGGGGGAACAAAAAGCGCTTGACGCCAATCGCCACAAATAACGAAATGGGCTTCCTGAACAGTCTCCGCCTCCGCGCGCGCCGAGCCCTTCGCTCACGGGCGCTGCGCAACCTCGTCCTCCTCCTGGCGGCGTACACCCTCCTCGACGCCCTGCGCGTGCAGCGCATCATCACGGGCGCGACGCCCCCGCGCGAGGCGATCGCGAAGCGCCCTAGGAAGACGCAGAAGGTGTACATTGCGGGGATGCACTACAATGACGGGGCGCTGATCAAGGAGCACTGGAACGCGGCGGTGCTGGGGCTGGTGGACGCGCTGGGGCGGGGGAACGTGTTTGTGAGCGTGTACGAGAGCGGGAGCTGGGACGAGAGTAAAGTGTGGCTGAGGCAGTTGGACGATGAGCTGTTTAAGAGGGGGGTGAGGAGGAATGTGGTGCTGGATGAGAGGACGCATTTGCAGGAGGTCGAGGAGGGAGAGAAAGATGACGGGGGAGGAGGGGGGGAGAAGGAGGGGTGGATTATGACGCCGAGGGGGAAGAGGGAGATGAGGAGGATACCGTTCCTTGCGCGGTTGAGGAATCTGACGTTGCGGGATCTGTGGAGGTTGACGGATGAGGGGGAGGTGTTTGATACGGTCCTGTTCCTGAACGATGTCGTCTTCACTGTAAGAATCCCCGGGTTTCCGCCCATGGTCCCGCTTGCTGACTCTATCTACAGGCCGAGGACGTGCTCGCGCTGCTAGACACGAACGGGGGCCTCTACGCCGCGGCGTGCTCGCTCGACTTCTCGGAGCCGCCCTCTTACTACGACACGTTCGCGCTGCGCGACTCGGCGGGGCAGGCGCACCTGATGCAGACGTGGCCGTACTTCCGGTCCGCGGCGAGCCGGGCGGCGATGATGGCGTACGCGGACGCGGTGCCGGTGCGCAGCTGCTGGAACGGCATCGTGGCGATGCCGGCGGCGCCGTTCCTCGCATCCGAGGCTAGTGGGCGCCGCCTCAGGTTCCGTGCCGTGGCGGACTCGCTCGCTGAGGAGAAGCACCTCGAAGGCAGCGAGTGCTGTCTGATCCACGTGGACAACCCGCTGACGGAGCATCTGGGCGTGTGGCTGAATCCGCGGGTCAGGGTCGGGTATGACGGGGACGCGTACCGGTGGGCGAACCCGACGGAGGGGAGCTGGGTAAGCGTGTGGAGGGTCATCGTGGGGAAGTGGGAGGGGAGGCTGAGGAGGTTGCTTACGAGTGACGGCGTCAAGGAATGGGTTGTCAGGAAGAGGGTGAGGGAGTGGGAGGCGGAAGGGGAGGGGAGGAGCGAGAAGGGGGTTGATTGCCTGATTAACGAGGGGCAAGTTCTTGTTTATAATGGGTGGGCGCATGTTTAAAGATACCCTGGTATATATTTGAGAATGTTTAAAGCCTTGCGGCGGTCTATCTTGTTATCCCCGATGCCATTATGTCTCGTTGCGCCCCGGATCTTCTACCTACCTTAGCTACCCGTGCTCATATTGCCGCCTGCTTAACCAATTAAGCGTCCAAAATGCCTCCCAAATTTACCCCCCAATATGTCGTCAAGTCTTGAGATATGTCGTCTGTTTCTTGTAGGAATGGGTGGAGGGAGAGCTTGTGTGCCGTTCCATCATGGGATAACGCGTCTTGGAGGAAAGGGTGAAGAAACTGGGTAGAGATTGTTTCCGTGTCAATGACCACTGGGTTCGTCCCAATTTCCTCAAAGAAGCGTGACAGCTCGAAGCTTTTCTTCGTCTCCTCGTCTACCGAGACGGACGTGGCGTCGATTGCTCTGAAGCTACCGGTGGATCTTGCGAGCGTCGGGCGTCGATTGATGATAGGTGCTTCAGTCTGGTCGTCCAGCGACTCATCGGGAGAGCTCGGTGCGGTTTTCTGAATGCCCTTGAAAAACGTCTCGTATTCGTCCAGTTGAGAGTCCGACAGGCCAGAGTCCTCTTGCGTATCATACTGATCTTCTTCCTCGCCATCGTCGCTCGACTCGGAACTCACACTCCAGGTGCTTCTCGTGGCCTCTCCAACACCATCGTTTTTCTCAGGCTCTTCGGTCGAGTCGACATTCTCGCAAAAGCGAAGCCGACTAGGCGTCCCAACCACGCTCTTCTTTTTTCCAACGCTCTCTTGAGTCGTTGCCTTGCCATCCACTGCGGAAAGCAACTCCAGCAGCGCGCCGTCCTCGTTAAGGATGTCGCACTCCTTCAATGTCTCCAGTACCCCTGTTGCCGCCGCCTCGACCAAACGATCCATCAAGCCCTGGCTGATAACTTTCGGGAGATCAGCTATGGATACAAGGTCGTAAAGTGAGAGGCCGTGCTTGCTGAGGGTATGAATTTCTGTGGACGTGAGACAGCCCTTCCTCTGTGAGTCCGCAGCGCGAATCTTGCGGAATGCTGGGAGGATCCTATGCCTTCGGCGGAGGTCATTTGGAGACGCGAAGGCGTCAACAAAGCTAAGCATCTCAATCACTGGGCCCGAGTCCCAATATACCGAGCGTATCGCCTGCAGGAGACGAGTGTACTCTGTTTTGCCATCCTGAGAGGCGAGGGCCAGCTCGTGGAGATCTGTGAGCTGTTCCACCGGGTTGATGTCTGGGGAGGGGATGACGTGGAGAGCGAGGTAGCGAAGGATGGTCGAGTTACAAGCAATGTGATCTTGGATCTCTTTATGAGTTGCTGTCTCGGGTAGAGAGAGACCTGCTCTGATTACAGCTAGGGGACCTTGAGCATTGGGTGCATTAGGAAAGAACGGAGGCAGGTCAATCCCTTGGGTCAGTGTCTCCGGAAGTGGAACATCCACGGGAGTGAGAACGTCGCCTTCAGATGAGGACGAGGATTCTGAGTAATGTGCCAGCAGATCGTCAATGGAACCGTCTGTCGTTGCTGAAGAAGGCTCCTGGTCGTCACCGAGGATATCCTGATCGACGTTGGACGGGGATGGAGGGTTGGTGTATCCAACCTGCACCTGGTCACTACCTCTGACGGTGATCGTCATGGTCTTGCCACCCTGAATGAAAGAGTAGGTTCCCGGGCCAAGGGTAATTTGGTTTCCGTTATCTAGCTCCTTGGGTTTGCGCTCTGAGGCAGGTTCTGTTACGTTGTGTAAGCGAATTGGTTTGTTGGTATGGAAGACCAGCTGGGCCGTACCTCCAAATATCTCTACTGCATCTGCGTGTCCGATTTCGGCGTTTGTTTGTTCTTCGTGTGCAACGAACTCCTCAATTGAAGAGTCCGCGATTGGGCTCTCGGTAGGTGATGTCTCCCGCTTATTCTCGTGCCAGTCGAGAGCGGTGGGAGGACGGGGGAAGTCGCTAATATTCACTTCTTCGTCAGAGTACTCGCTCGATGTCGCGGACGCCGGAGGCGACGACGGGCCCGGGTTGCGGTATGTGTCCAGCACATGCCTCATGGACCTTGCAGAGTTCTCTCGGTAGTCTTCCTCAGAGGTGTCGATAGGGCTCTCTGCCAACATCATCATCGAAGTGCTCAGCGAACCGGGACTTTCGCTCCTTCCGTCCGTGGGAACACGAGGAAGAGCATCGCGCATCGTCTCCTGTTGAAAACTGCGACGCGAGGAGAGAGAAGTCGCCCCTTCCGTCTCCGAAGAAATGCGGCGAAGAGATGGACGGGAGCCAGATCCGTCTCCCAAGGTCTTCCCATTCTTCATCTTGTCCTTCGTCCTGTGTGACCTGCTCGTCCCGTCAGTACCTACGTTCATCTTGTTTCCCTCGGCAGGCGGCGCCGTTACCTCTTCCTGCTGTTTCGCAATTTTCTGTTCATCGCTGCTGCTGGCTTCATCCCGGTACAGATCCTGGCCGCTCTCAGCTTGCGTAACTTCTGGCCTCCACGACGTAATGCCGCGGACGATGTTGAGGGCGCGCAGGATGGTGTCGGCCTCGTTGCGGTTGCTTCGCGCGCGCTTCTCAGCTTCGTTTTGGAGGCGGCGAAGCGCGAGGAGGGCTTCTGAAGACTCACCTCCTCTGAGGCAATCTAACGTCTCTCTGATGCCCTGCGTGTGAAGTTCGAGGGGAACGTCCCGGGCGTAGGCTGTTGTTAGTTTGGGAGGCGCGGAAGAAGCTTTAGCCAAGGTGATCGTTGATGTCGACGTGTAGTTGAATCCTGACTGACTGGGTTGAGGACTGGTTGGTGTAAGCTTCCTTCCGGTCCAGCGGGAGAAAAGTTTGAAAGGCATCTTTTCGGTATTGCTTGTTGGTGAATTAATTGTGTGGTGGGGGTGGTTGGTGAGTTGCTGAGAGTCAGTGAATTTGGCAAGGTGAGAAGGCGCGCCCCTATTTGACTCAGACTTGGTCAAAGACGGCAGTTGCGACAGAAAATTCCATGGTTTGGAAGGAACGACCTTTTCTTGAAACTTCTCGCTGCCTTCGCAAAGAGGATTGTGTGCTGTGGGCTCAAAGAACATGGTCGGCGTCGTGGCTCACGAGCCATGTCCCTTTGCAATTCGGCCTACATGTCACGAGCCGCAATATCGTAGTCGGCCAGTCCCTTGCCCTCCACGCTGAAAAAGTCTCGCAACAAAAGCATTGTCATCGACTGTTCTTTGAAGGGCCCTCAGTGGTGTGCCGCAGATCTGCACTACCGCCACCCCACGCGAGAGCCTAGGTATATCTGAAGGTTACTCAATGGTCCACACTTTCTTCAATCATCGTCTTAAGTATGAGACAGAGAAGCTGGAAGCACACAGGGTCTGGAAGGTTGCTTCAATCTCTTTCCAGATACCTCCCAAGACAAATCTGGATGAATCAACGCAACGTTTGGGACCTAGCTAGAGAAGTAGAAACAGTTCTGGACTTTTCTGAGCTCGAACAAGTTGTTTGTGGAATAATGTTCTTGACAATCACCCGAACAAAGGTTCAGGCAAGATGTTTTCTGTACTCTACCATCACGTCTCTAGGCTTCCTGTAGGACCTCCAACTACCGTATACGACCAGAACACAGGACATTGTCCAATACAAACTCCAACGCATCGTCAAATATATGACTTGCCATGATGCCGCAGTCAACATGTTTCCAGTCACAAACGAGCTTGCCAAACATCCAACCATACTTACATCCACGACATCATCATCCTTGACCAAAAAATGTGCTACAAGAAGCAAACGTACTACAAAAGCTGCTCCCACACACGCACAGAGGAAGGAGACTGCCCCCACCAGAAGCGCCTCAGCCAACTACGCCTGCAAGAGCGCCTCGACGCCCACCGCCGCCAACGAAGCTCCTGGCTCCTTTGCATCTTCTGCTTCCTCATCGCCCCCGAGCCGCGGCCGCGCACCCCGGAGCCCCGCCGCGAGTGCCCCCTCCAAGACGTCCGCGTCGAGGTCGACGGCCGGTGTCCGCAGTGCCGCCTCCTCGACGCGCAGGCGGCGGCCGTGGGGAGAAGGGATAGGTATGACTATGACTACATGGCGCGCCGGTGCCGTGTCAGAGGTGAGGTGGAGGTGAGTCAGATGAATGGCGTTGCTGACCCCGTGAGTGCGCAGGTGGTGGATATAGCTGTCCCGATGGACGAGGCGGAGAGGAGGGAGGGGACGAGGGGGAGGGCTGGATGGAGGGAGCATGACGCGCGGATACGGGAGCCGGAGAGGACATTTATGGCATATCGCCCCGAGGGTCGTCGGGATACGGACCCCTCTGCGGGTTCGCGACGACCGAATCGGGGCCGGGACTTTGTGCCATATGTGGACTCAGGGTATGCTTCGTCATCGAGCTCGTCGGAGCTGCCACAGACATCGCGGGTGAGTAACCCGGAGTCAACGTCTTCCGCATGGCCTGCCCCTTTGCGAATATCAAAGACCAAAGGCCATGTCAGGAGCCTGGACAGGACATCTTCAGCCTGTCCTGCTCCTTTACGGACATCAAAGACTAAACAGAACCAGGATCCGTCGAGACTAACACAGACGCAACATGTCAAGAGCCCAGACTCGACATCTTCCGGTCGGCCAGACCCTTTACGAGTTTCCAAGACCAAGCAGAACCAGGACCTGTCAAGGTCCAAGAGGAGCTACTCCAGGAAACCGGGCCGAAGCGCAGTCGCAGCGTTGGAGAACCCGCCCCTGAGCGCCGTGATAGAGGACGTGGAGAAGGCCTGGAATGATGCTTGCCCGGATGGAGGCTCCGCTGCCAGGACTGCTCGAAAGCCGTCGCAGGAGCTGTCGCAACTCACCAGCCCGTCATCTTACAGCCCGGAACTACCGATCGACGATCTGAT